ATATATATATATAAATATATATTTATTTGAAAAAAAGTATTTTTAAACTAAAGCTTTGAAGTATTCTCAGCAGTAGCTTGGTAAATAGATCAGCAGAAAATATAGATGTAAGTTCTTTGTAGCACTTTATATAGAAGTCTATAGATGTAAGTCTATAGATGTAAGTCTATAGATGTAAGTCTATAGATGTAAGTCTAGTTTATAGATGTAAGTCTTCTAAGACTATGGAATTGAATGGAAAGGGCAAACAAGAAATAACAGCACAGTAAACTTAACAACCCAACTTCAGACTTCCTGAAACTTGAACCCTGCGTGAAATCTGCAAGAATTGCCTAAAAAATAGTCAGTATGTTAAACACCTGTACCTTGGGTTGGATAGCTGTCAGAGTTGAAGGATGTCAGAAAAAATTTGCTGGTGATAGAACTGACAAACCCTATTGCTTTGGTGTATCCTGAGGGACGTGTTGGTGTTACAGGTGAGGTGTTACAGTCTCCTCTCAGTTTGTTCTTAAAATGCAGAAGCAATGGCATAATGCCACAGACTGCTGCATTAGAGAGATGAAAAAGAGGTTACTTTACTTAATACTTTATTGTTTCTCATACATTGTTGGAGAGTTTGATAATGCTGGCTTGATTTGAGGAAGGTTTTATTTTCTGCCCAATGAGTCATACCAGGAAGTGTAACCAAGTTGATAGAACTCTTCCCTTGTCAGGTGCCTTGTTTCTCCTTCCATATAATAAATATAAGTATCTCTGCATTGGAATAATTCAGGAAACTAGTATCCTTTTAACATTAACATATTGTAAGGTGGGTAGGGCTACTATGTTAAAAAAGTAGCCTTAGAGAGGTACGCTTTCTTTAATTTCTCATGCTAAGAGCTATTTTAGAAGACTTCTGATAGATTCTGCAGTGAGTGCTGCTGGGATGGCACAAAGGAGCAATTTAGTAGATCCTGCCTAGTTCTGGTTGGAGTTGTGACCTCCTCAGGAGGAAAGCAGTGGAGGCAATTTGAAGTGGTCATTACTGTAGGTAAGTCCCAAACTGGTAGAAGGGCTTGGAGTACCCTGGAGTATACAGCTCTTGTATGTGGAGCAAAGTTATGTTTGACTTCTGAAATAAATAATGAGTAATAAGCACATAAAGAATTGTGATGGGAGGTTTGGTTTTATGTATACTTATAAATTCTAGTTTGATTTCAGGGCTTACTAGTTCATTATCATGCTTAGTTCTTCAGTATTTCAGTAAATTTATAACTTAAATTCAGATATTGTGTTTAAAAATGCCTTTTTTCCCCCAATACCGTACTGAAAATGCCCATTTCTGTGCTGTATTACTGTCTGTTTACTCTGGCAGTTCTGGTTTTACGTATTCACATTTATGCAAGAAGCCCTCTCCTGAAGAATTTACGTTCTGGTATTCTTGAATGTGCTGTGTCAAACCCCATTAAGATTTTTAAAGCCTCCTAAAGGAAGTGCCTGTAAAGATATATTAGTTTAGAACCGTGGTTTTAAAAGTCAATAAAATGTGAGAAAATGAGTTAATAAATTACTATTGAAAAATGCCACAATCTTTAAAATAAAATAAAAGTTTGGTTTGTTTTTCATCTTTGGGAAACTAAATGAAATGTGTCTAAATTGAGTTGGTATTCAAGTGCTTTTGTTACCTGAGTAAGACCTGGCTTCTTTTTGAGTTAATTTGCTAGATACCAGTTTGTCTCCATAGACACAATATTCATTTAGGGAAGAAGGTGGAATAAAGTACAGAGATGATTTTTTGCGAACTCTCAGCCCGTCAGGAAGCTGGGGGACACGTGTGTGTCTCTGAAGTGAGGAGCTGTTGGTTTGAGAGAGGCTGACCTGAGGAGGATGCCCCTGGGCAGGGTGGGTTTCCTGTGGAGATGAACCCCTCTGGCTGAAGTGGGCATGGTTCTGTGAGGAGCTGCTCCCAATACCGGTGCTCAGCATCACCTGAACCCTCTGCTTTCTCTTTTGGAGCTGAGGCACACTTGTACTGGGAGGAGGGCCATCCTTTGTCCTCCTTTGAGTCCATTTTTCTTGAAAACATTGATTTCTGCTCTTTTACTTTGATTTGCCTGTTCTGCCTTGTTCCTTAGCCCTGTGTTTGCAATGGGCCCAAAGCTTTTTGTAATTGAGGACATAACTAGACTGAGTGGAAAGGTACTGTGTCATTGTTAAGGAATTCAAAGTATTACTGAAACTACAGGTGCCATTCTAAAGACAAAAGCTAATCCCATGCAGCCACTGCTTGTTTTATAACATGATAGCATCTGAGCTCCTGTTATCACTTCAATTAACTTCTGGAGTAAAAAAGAAAATGTAAATTCCAATTCAGATTCCATCTGCACTATCACAACAATAATCCTGCAGCAGTAGGAAGTAAATTGTCGTACATTTAATATGTTATATGCTTACAACACTGTCTTCCTTAGAGTTGTTAGTGTGAAACTGCTCCCTTGGGTATCTGTCTCTTGCATTTCTATCAGTACACGCAGCTTCAAGCTTTTAATACTGTGTTCTTATTTTGCAGGTTATACCTGATCAATTCTCCTGTGGTAAGGGCAGAAAATCTGAGATTTAAGGAGGAAGGAGTAAGGGATATACTGAAGGACGTCTTCCTGCCCTGGTACAACGCGTATCGCTTTCTTGTGCAGAATGTTCAGATCCTGCAGCATAAGGTACAGACCTCTTGAGCGGGGAAAGCAAAGTGGAAGGAGTTTTGTGCTTTTTCCACTGTTAGAGTGAATCAGCATCGTAGAGAAACTTAGATTAGAAGGGAGGTCTGGAGTCTGACTCTGGAGGTCATCTGTTCAAAGCAAGGTTGACTTCAAAGTTAGATCAGGTTGTAGAAAGTCGCTGTTAATTTCTGTGCTATTTGCTGTTTTTGCCCTGTTTTATAAAGCTATAATCACCCTGCATCTTCCTCGTCTTGACCAAGCTTCTTATATAGAAAGATAGGGGACTGTCAAGACATGACAGCTATCATTTCTCAGATTAGGGTTCCCTTGACTCCCTTTTATTTGAGATAAATGTCATGCTACTGCATTCAAACTCTTGAAATTAGAGAACAGGATGGGGAGTTCAAGTTTACAAAATACATATGAAGCAACTATGTTCTGCTGGTCACCTTGCTGGGAACACCAGTTAAAAGCCAGGTACCATATGTGCTGAAGGGAATCCTTCTGAAACGTCTGTAATAACTCTTGTTGGTTTTCTAGTAATTGTCTTATCAGTGTTTGTGTCGTAGCTTGGAGGCAGTGGGTATCACTGATACTGCTTTGAGTGCTGCTGCAGTGTTTTCTTCACTGTTATTCCACATCATGTAGTCAGGGACGGCTGAATGAGGTGGTGATCGCAGGAACGGTGCCGTCGGAGGATGGCATCTGGACTGCAAGCCTCTCTGCACTGAGAACATTGCTTAGTAGCATACAGATTTAACACAAATAGAGCTGGAAAGAAGTAATGAAAAGAAAGTTATTTTCAGTAGCGACTGCTGTGACAGTTTCTTGAGCGAACTCATTTGCTGTAACTTTAATTACGAATCTGCATAAAAATGTTTAACTCGGGAATACTCGATACTGAATACATTTGCTACAGCAAGAAGATTGCCTTCTGTAACATGAAAGCTAATTTTTTTTTTCAAGTTTAAATTTAAATCTAAGTATACCTTAGGAAAAAAAAATGAAGAAATGGAATGGAAAGAAAGTGAAATCATCATAAAAGCAGTAATGGTTTAGACTTGTAGATTACACTTGAGGTCTACTAAAAAATGCTGCGACTGATACGAGTTTCTACACTCTCAGAATGAAAGCAAGATTAGAAATTTTTTCTTACAGTAATTTTTCATTTAAATTGGAGATTTTATGTGTATATTGTGTAGTTTCTGTTGAAACAGATTTCAGTCTTTCAGCTGAGATGAATGAAAGGAGGCTGCCACTTGTTAGTGCAGACTTTCATGGGAGAGTGGGAACTAAGCAAGAAAGTTCAAATCATGTGCCTGAAATGACAGTGGCAACCTAATCACTTTGGACAGCTGCCATGTGAAGCAATAAAGGCAGCTGACTTCAATAAACAGTACCGTAAATAGCTGACTGAAATAGATGGCTTCATCTTTTTAACAACCCCTTTTGGGAGTAAAGTCTGGGAACTTCGCATCCTAATATTTAACGACTCTTCTTTCAGGATCCCTGGACAGTGTTCATCAGACAAGCTTATGCATTGCCCCAGAAATATAGTTCACGTTTTCCTGTTTGACCTTTGAATTAACTGAAGTGTGTTTCGCAGTTTTTTGCTGTGATCCCATTAGATATTGCAAGGCCAGCCAGCCTGGGCATGGAAGACCCCAGTGGAAGATCCAGGTGCTTCAGCAGGCAGTTTTGGTCAGCCAGCAGATGTCATTTTTCTTGCTAAATAGCGAAGCCATTCCTATGCACCATATTAGGCAAAAGAATGAGTTATTGGAGGTGACAGTGCTTACATTAGATTTCATACACAGGCTTAAACAACTTTTTCATTGTAGTCTGCCTCCTGCAAGAGAGGAATTACAACCGCAGTGTCCTGGGTTGAGTCTAATAATAATTTTACACTTACAGTAATTACCACAGTAATTGTAGTTGGTTAAATGATTGCTGACCTCATACTGAGACCGCTGCCCTTCTGGGTGTGCAGACGCATTTCTTTCCTAAGAATCTTCTCCTTTATAATGTAACTGGATGCATCATTACTGGGCTGAATGATCCAAACAGATTTTTTTCATCTGGACTCTGAGGGGAGGGAAAGTGCAAAGACTCTTAAAACCAGATGTCAAACACTGTTTCTAAATCAGAAAAAAATAAGCAACCCCCCTGTTTTCAACCAGTCGTCAGAACATTTGTGTGGAGAGGAGTCAGACTGTGGGCACTCAAAGCATTCCTTACTTGTGGTCTTGCTTGCAGTGCTCTACAGAATTAGTGAAGTGTTAGGACATTTTTGAGATGGGCACAATCATCAGTGTCTGGAAAGGAACAAAATGCACTATTTGCACATTGAATGCCTAAAAATTCCACTTATTTTTTCAGTTGGGGTCCTTGCCCTCGTCTGTGTTTTCATCTGCTGAAACTGTCATGTGCTCTTTCTCCAAATAGACTTCAACTTCATGTTACGGTTCTTGTAAATGCTTCAGATCCTCCTAGATGAAAGAGCTGTGTGAATTCAAGAGTCCTACCCCACGTCTGGAAGCTATGAGTTACA